ATTAATGAATAACCATTAACTTAGGAATATACAAAGGTTAGAAAATTAACTCATAAGAGTTAAGGAATATATAAAGTTAGATAAATGAACATTCACATCTATTTACTATTATTCATAACACTCTCCCTTGGATGTTTATTGAGGGTAAGCCTTGTGGGAAAAAATCTAGTGAAGAAAAAAGAGTACAATATCTTTTTAAAGTAAATTCATTTTCCCCCTCAGTTGAACCATTATTTCTTCGACGATGAAGATCAATCTTTTATATTAGTTGATTAAATATTCTACTTGGGAGTTACTATGTGAAAAGGTCTCAAGTAATGCTAAAAGTTCGGCATGATCAGATGATGTTGCTGCTATGGTTTGTTTCACCGATCTCCATGAAATTGTTGTACCTCCGTATGTAAACAAATAACTTGTTTGTGATCTACCATTATGAGGATCTGACAGTTAATCTGCATCTACATAACCTGTTAATTTGAAGCTGGATACTTTGGTATAAAACAAACTCATGTCTATTGTACCTCTAAGGTAACGAAGTATATGTTTGATTTCTTTCCAATGTCTTCGTGTAGGTGAAGAAATGTTTCTTGCAAATAGGTTGACAACAAATGATATATTAGGACGTGTATAATTAGCAAGGTACATTAGTGCTCCAATTGTACTGAGATATGGCACTTCAGGAGCAAGTCAGTCTTCATCCTTTTCTCGAGGTCTGAAAGAATTTTCCTCTGCATCTAATGATCTAACAACCATTGGAGTAGGCAACGGGTGACATTTGTCCATATAGAAGTGTTTTAACACATTTTCTATATAGTTTTCTTGATGTACAAATATTCCTTTGTCCAAATGTTCAATTTACAAACATAAACATAATTTTGTCTTTCCTATGTCCATCTCAAACTCTTTCTTTAAACAATTCATAGCATTTGGAAGCTCTTCATGAGTTTCAATAATATTTATGTCATCCACATAGACAACTATTATTGCAAATTTCTTTCCTGATTTTTTTATAAAAATACATGGACAAATAGAGTTATTTGTATATCCCATCTCTAAGCAAATATTCACTTAGACGATTATACCACATTTTTTCAGATTGTTTCAGCCTATCGAGAGACTTATTCGATCTTATGGAGTATCTTTCTCGATATTCAAAGTTGTATGCACCTGATATATTGAACCCTTCAGGGAGTTTTATGTAAATTTCACTATCAAGTGAATCATAGAGAAAAGATGTTACAACATCCATCATGTGCAAATTAAGCCCTTCATGTGCTACAAACCTAATTAAATATCAAAAATTGAATTGCATCCACTGCAGGTGAATGTGTTTCATCAAAATATATTTTAGGTCTAAGATTATTGAACAACAACTCAAGCTTTGCATCTCACAATTTCACCATTCTTATTTTGCTTTTTCACAAAAAAGTCATTTATATCTAATTGGTTTTACACCTTGAGGTGTTCGGAATACTAGCCCAAAATCGAGTCACTTTTAAAGTGAGTTTATTTTTTCTTCAGTTGAATATGTTCATATTGGTCAATTCTCACTTTGTCTACAATCTTTGATAGACTTTGACTCATGATCCTCGTTATCATTTATCATCTTTAACGTTATATTGTACACAAAGAGGTTGTCAATATCGATTTTATTTTGGTTCCATCATATTCCATTCATGATATAATTTATCGAGATCTCTTAATTTTCATAAAATTTAGGTATCTAGTTAGTTCTTCTGAAACTCAAAATTAAATTATGTCAAAGTGCTCTTAGATTTTTCATATCCTCACTTGGGTCATTTTTAACTTTAGTTTCTTTTCTTGGTAGAGGACTTTTAACATCGAAACCGAATTTTCTGTCATGCTTCAGACGCGGCTATAACTCATTTGCAATATTATATTGTCCAATATGAGAATCCACTTTAAGTGGAATATTAGCAGCTAATAATTTGTTTCATAAACTTTGCAAATGAATTGTATTTTGAACTTCAAGGATCAAAATAATATAATAATATTTTATTTCAAATTGTTCCTTTGAACCTCTGGTTCACACTTTGTGCTGCTTGTTCTCTCCCCCTAGTATTGAGAAAATTAATTTATAAATTGATAGTCAGCCTACTAGATTTCAAACAAGTATCTAATTATTGGACCAAGATAAAACCTCAAATACAAGATTCATATAAAATGCATTTTCTCAACATTCTTTCAAAACACGTCTTAGCGTAATATATTGTAGCAATTGAATAATAATTACAACACATCCAAAAGTTTACTTAGATGACAAGTATTAGATTATTAACCTAAAATAATTTGTAAGTTAAGAGGAGAATGATCAAGTACTAACTTGTCGGCTTAATGCGAATAAATATCTTAATACTATACTTTGTGTGTTTCAAATATCTAATTAAGAATTGATGATCTCACAAGTATCAACTATATAACTAACTTTAGATGTCAAAAGAGTGGATCTTCAAGTCCACTTTTTTATGAGTATGTCCTTCAAGATGTTCAATATTAATTTTAGTAATATATGTTATACTTATCAAGAAATTTCTGAAAAATCCAGAAAAAAAGATCTTAGTCTAATTAGTTGAGAAAATAATTTCACAAACTTCTGATTGTGAATAGAGACATATGCGCCATCTTTTAGTCGATGCAATAATGTCATAAAAACTCAATTTCTCAAAGTTTCATTTAGGGAAACACAATTTTTATTGGATTGAAAAAAAATTTGATTCTTCAAAACTAGTTCTCACACCATAATACATCTGAGATGATCCAACTGATTTTTCCAACAACACACTTAAGTGTGATTTGTAAACATCTAACTTACCATAATACATATGATTCTATTCTTCTAATTTGTTTCAATCTCTAGTAAATATAAAATAATTTGTATAAAATGTATTCATAAAAATTGATGGCATACAATTTAATTACAATTATTAATATTATTCATTGTCAAATTTTCTAGGATCCATGAAAATTGTCATTGATACTTTTCTAATCAATTGAGACAGAATAATCATTTTCTTATCAATCATCAATGAATGAATAAAAGTAATTCATTATTTGAACAATCCTCTAGTGATCATTTATAATATATATAATTTTTTTCAAGAGGTAGGTCATAGATCTTCAAACAATGATAAAGATAAATAGATTTCGTGCAATCCTTCGAGGATGTATTATAAATTTTTCAAGAACTATATAAATTATTATTTTTCTATCATTCAGGGATCATGATTAATTATATAATAAATTATTATTTTGCTATCGTTCAATGATATTTGATAAGTTCTTCAAAAACTATATAATAAATCAACGTTGATTTTTTTCTTCTAATCTATGTATCAAAATACATAATAGACAGAATTAAAAATATATATTACGGAACAAAAAATATAATAATGTTACCTTCTAAATATTTGAGCTTCATATAGTTAGACATTTATTATCAAATTATTTGTATCGCTTCTTAGACAATTAATTAGCATTCATATAGTAGAGTTTCATGCTGATAACGTGTTATAAAATTAAATAAAATAATAGAGCTAAAAAAAGGAAGAGAGAAAGTAATATTTATATTATCTTCTGCCAAAAGTACATTTTACATTGCAATGTGATCTTATTTATAGTACACGACCAATGAATAACCATTAACTTAAAAATTTAAAGAATATAAAAAGTTAGGTAAATAAACATCCATATCTATTTACTATTATTCATAACAATTTATTTGTTTTTCTTTTAAAATATTTCCTTCTAGTTTGATTACAAACCGAGTCAACTCGCCCAACAGTCCGCAAATCATCTAAACCGCCAACTGCTTGAACCGATGAATGAAGTGAGCAAAAATGGGTTGAGACTTTTCATATGTAAAAATTTTTCATGAGATTGTAGGGTTCGAAACTGTCTGATGTCCACCCCCTAATTATGTATAACAATTCTCTTGTTTTAATTTGGTTACTAACGTGAAAGAAAGTAGTAGAAAGTAGTCTAAGGTAATTTTACATTTAAGCTTATAAAGTGATGTTTTGAACTGCATAACACTTGACTTAAAATTGAGCTATATTATACGAATGATTACAAGAGAAGTAAAAAGTGGTTTCACAGCTACTCTGCACCTTTGGAATAAAGCAGCACGGAAGTTTCACAGCCAAACGAGTTATAAACCTTATAAGAATCGCCCACACCAAGTTATCAGATGACATTTTCAAGCAACACTCGGAAGTTCAAGTTACAGATGAAAAATTAACCTGAGATTTCTTACCACAATTCATTTGTGAAGAAATAATTGAACACTGCAAATTAGATCAGTTAAACTATGAAAATTCAATTTAGACCACTAGAACAATGATATTGATTTATTTTTAAGTTTACATACTACTTAAAGTGTGTGGTTACAGAGCCAAATAACGATTCTGATGCAAAAAACATGACGCATAACAGTACTTATATTATTTTTTATAGGACACAGTACCTAGGTAAAAAAGCACTTTTGTGCGGAGAACCCAACTTCTGTGCTATACTCAAATTAATCCTAAGGTAACAAGACAGATTTAATTAAGACCAGAATGGACTCAACGATGCAATCACTGAAACATGGGTAAGAAAAAAGATTAAATGACGCATGTGGTTATAGGTTTGTAAAATCAAGCTTACTGGACTAGTTCAACTTATTTTTTCTCCTAAAATGCAAAATCACAATCAAATACTATGCAAACAACTCGAGAATGTTGTCGAAACCAAATATGTCTATTAAGACTTGAGAGCCAATGTTAGCTATATAATGATTTAATCTCGGTGTGTTACCAATTTATTAATAGAAGAAAGAAAACAACTGAGTGTAACAGAAAGAGTATGCATACATTAGTGGAAATTCAAAACTGCATGTACATTACTATTTTGAGTATACAAGGTAAAATGCCAAAAATCCTTTCCAACTCTCAATCAGATAATTAATTGCTGGTAAACTTCAAGAAGATCCATAGACCACTTCAGCTGGTACTAACATCAACTCCTCTTTGATTCAAATATTCCTTGGCTTCAACAATGTCCTGGAAAGAAGCAATAAAATAAGCAACATTCTTTGGCATTGTATTACAGTCAAAAGGCTTATCTGAATCTGAAATATGATCCAGCATTATGCTGCAATTATCAGGTCATAATTATTCTTTAACTGCTTAAGGATCATCTAGGAGGAAAAGTTGGCATTTATATGACAATTGGACTACTTTTTGAACCGAGTTAAATTTGGGAAAGCAAAAGCATATCTGTCCGTACCCAATAGAATAGGTTCAGAGAAACATGTGGTCCACTTTCTCGGTTGAAATAGGTTTGCAGTTACAGTGGATGATATCATTTACTTTTCACAAACATATGGAAACAAAGCCTACAAAAATGCACAATGACATATGGGAACAAGAAAATGATCCTCATTAATGATATTTGTGAGTTGGGTCCTTGATGATCTAAAAAGAACTAAATGCCGTCACTTGCTACCACAACTATTCACATGAACGATGCGCAATTTTATTCCAGTCCTGCATACAGGATATTGGGGGGCTTGACATTTAATATGTTACTGTCTGCAGATCAGCGCATATTAAATGATAGGTAGGTTAACTTATCTCAAGCTCGTGAGAGCTTGTGTTCTTAAGTGTTTTGGTTGTTCTTGTTTCCCTCTTCTTAGATCTTACAATAAAAACAAGCTTCAGTTTAGGTCTCAAGAGTGTCCTTATTGGCTACTCCACCTCTCATATGGGCTACAACTGTATGTCCCCTGATGGTCATATCTACATCTCTCCAAAGGATAGGAAGGTAACTTATATCAACTCATGAGAGCTTGTGTAGACTGTCACATATTGTATAGTTTCCCTCTAATTGATTCTGTTAGCTTGTAACTAATTTTGTTAAGAGTGTAACTAACTGACTGAGAGCTGTCAATTAGTTAACTTGCCAACCGGTTTCCCCTTCTTCCTAATGCAACCTACAAATGGATTGACCTCAATTGATCTAGTAACTGAATTCATTCCAATCAAAAAATCATTAGCTGAAAAACTCAGTATTCAGTTCATGCTTTTCTCTAAGTTTTCATCTATGAATAATTTCAATTTAGTGATTTGAGAAACTCTAATAGGAGTAATACAGAAGCCTTATTCAATGGAACTGAAAATGATGGTCCATTACAGGATGTGGCAGACATTTTTGCAGGAGACGATAAAAAGGATTTGAATCATAATCTAGGTCTACAAATGAAAATTTATTGAACAAAGTTCCTTACACATTGGATTTGCGAAAGTACTCGTATGTCAAGTCCAGATTTTGCAATAAAATTTTCTGATCGAAATGTTCAATATGAGGGAAGGGGGAAAGGATATTGGTGACAAAATACTAACAACTCCGGACCTCAAGGAGTTGCTTGCTACCAGGGATTACCCGGTTTATGCAACATGATTTGAAAACACATGTTATTTTTCCCACCACAACAAGTATGCCTCCTTATATTCCTATTCCATTGTCAATATAAACAAGTCAACGCTATTGTTAACTGTGCTTGCAACCTTAATATTGTAGTATGTCTGTGTCCCCTTTTTAAAAGGTTCATATTAGAGGGAACCAGAAAAATAAGGGAAATATTAAGGAACAAAAATTTGGTGACAGGTAGAAAAATAAGTGTACTCGTAAAGAATAAGGCTAGAATGTCCAAGGAGAATTCTTCGATATGTTACTTTAAGAAATTTGTGATTGGCATATTTTGGAGTACACATTTTTAAGACCGATATTATTTTTAAGACAAGATATCCTTCTCTTCTGTAAAACTGCAAGGATGTCTCGTCCTTTCTTATAAATTATTTTAAAATACTAAAACTAGATGAACCTCAATAATAGACAATTTTTATCCAAATTAAGTATGTGGCAATTATAAACAATTGTTGCTCCAAGTTAGACAACTGTGGAACAATTATGTTTATTAATTCAAAACTACTCTGGAACAGGGTTCCAATTCACAATTACAATTTATAGAAAACTGACACAAACTACACATAGAAAGACAGGGACCCTGTTTGGTTCCCTCCCAAGATTTTGAGAGTCTTGGATCAGTCCCTTCCGAAACTCTCTGAGAATTGGATCTCTCCTAATAACCACTCAATAACTTCCCAAAATCATAAACTCTTACTCTCCTATCTTCCCAAAATCATAAACTCTTACTCTCCTATCTTCCCCTGTTTGTCCTAAACAAAAACACACATAATTAATAAAATGTAACTGCTCCTAATAATATAATAACTCTCACTAAAATGCTCCTAATAATAGAATAATAATTGTTACAAACATAACAGTCAGTTTTCCTTAATGAGAGGTCTAACACTCCAGTCCTGAAATTATTTCAAACAATTGTAGAAGAGTAAACTCAGTGCACACATCTACAAACATACATATTCCATATGAAATATAAATAGCACAGCATTTATTTAAGTATATAACAATGCAATCACTAAGGCAGAGAAATAGAAATACCTTTTGTAACAACAGAGCTTCCTGAGGACATGTAGGAAAATTCATCAGACCAACTCCAACCATTAATAGACCGTAACATCCTAAAGACACGACAAAATAGATTGGTAGCTGCATAAAGGACAGAAGTATGGATGTTAGTATTATGAGGTTTCTAATTCTATGATTCTATCAAAATATAAAAAAAGCATCAAAAGGTTTGGTTGAGCTGGAAAGGATCAAAGAACTTTTCTTGTAAGGCTTAGGTTTGAACATCTCCCAGCAATCCCCCTCTAAAGGCTATCTACATATACATGATAAGTCCTCATTGAGGTGTATTGCGTAATAGCTTAGGAAACATAAAAGATTTCCCTCCCCAAAACAATATTGTACCAAAAACCAAATTAAAAAGTAAAGTACGTGTATGACATGAAACCTACCAACCAAGTATGACTTTGTGGAATGATAGAAGTTTGTAGAAGGCCAATCCATAAAGCAGTGATGGCAGTTACCAGCGTCAAAATCTTTACAATATGCTTCATTTATGAATCTGAAATCAGATGAATAATATGAATATCTGTGTAAATGTATTAGTGTATATACAAAATTGGATGAATAATATGAATATTTGGGTAAATGTATTAGTGTATATACAAAAAGAGAGAGAAGTTATATTTGTGGGAATAATTGCTTCATCACAAACATAAAATATGTGGGTGCCTATTCAATGTAAAATAGAAGGAGTGCGTGGGAGAATCTGAAGACCCATTCATGATCACTGATTTCTAGATTTCAGTTATAACATAGTCGTCATATATAAATCAGAATGCTCGTACATCTGTTATGAAGCAAAGCCTAAAAATTATAATCTAATGAAACTGACTCCATTTTTTAAATAAAACAAGAAATACTCAAGTAAAAGACTCTTGTAGCTGCTGCCATCAGATGGGATTTCCATGAAATTCATTTCATTGTTAATAATAACAGATATGATAGTTATATCACTCAAAGCCCTTGCGCAATTTCCCAGCATCATTTGGACTTTGCAAGCAAAATGTATGATTGACTAAACTCATATTTATCTACTGATCAAATGCAAAGTATAAGACTCGCTACAGATCAAAGACAATGAAGAATTTAAATCTTAACAAGCTCGGAATTTCTTTCCTAAAAAGAAACTTATATTGTACCACTTGGCTCAAAAGAAACAGGTTCCTAAAAATCAGGAGCATGAAGGTAGGTATTGCGAAAAAGAAAATAAATGTGAAAGAAAAAATAGAAACCCGTTAAATTTGATCATGGAATTCGACTCATAACATACACCTATCACATCACATAGCAAATGCATCATTCAAAAGGATTATAACTATATTGCCTTGAAGTTAAAATTGGTTAACAACTGGTACGTCACAGCAACTCCAATCTCTATCATGCAAATGCAACTACATTGCTAAAATGATAGGTAAAATTTCAAAATAAATACACAGGAACTGAAGTAAACTATTTTCCACTTCCATCAGGAGGGGGTCACCATGAAATTCATTTCACAGTTCAATAGAACTCAAAACCCTTGCGCAATTTCCCAACATCACTTGGAAGTGGCTGGATGGAACAAACCCTATCACCTAAAATCGCACGTTTCTGGAACTAGACAATTACAAACAGAAATATTATGTATATCAAAGGCCTTAAGAAAAGAGCATTACAACAAATCAAATTCAGAATCACAAGGAACCCTAAGTGAAGAAAACAAACATCTCATATAACAATAACAATCCTTTATGACTACCTAATTTAACCAAAGGATTCACTGATACATCTAGGGTTTCTTAAAAGTAAATTGGGAGAAATTTGAAAAGGTAAATGAGAATCAGAAGACACACCAACTGATGGAGAAGAATAATGAGGCGGCGACAACTTAGACCCCGGCGGCGGGCGTAGACTGCTGCTGGAGAGAGAGATATAAGACGTGTGGGTACCTGGGTGGCGCGATACAAGTTTCTACCAAGAAGAAATCAGAGATGAAAGACGATAGATATGAGAGTTGTATGTTGTTGGGAGAGCAGGCGTGGTGGTTGTATGGAGCCGGGAGGTGGTCGCGATGGACTCGAACAGGTGTTGGTTACGCGAGGCGAGATCTAGTGAAGTTGAGAGAAAGGGGAGGGGCGATCTGGTTCTGGGTGGAGGCAGGAGATGGATGTACGAGCAGTGGCGGAGATGAGAGGACTACAACAGTGGGGGCGCAGTGATGGTGAGATGGTGATGAGAGGGGCAGTTTTTGTTTATGTAAGAGAGGAAAACGGGGTTATGGACGATGTTTTAAGACCCGGACAAGTCCAGCTATCAATTTGGTCAAGATATGGGTTATTAACTCAAGACCGGTGAGTTATTGGTCGGACATGTAATTATTGATCCAATGAAAAAGTAGGGATTTAAATGCATATTTATGGGGACGGATATTATGATATTTGTATTTGTTCAGTTGGATAAATGTGATATTTAATATTTATATCTGTCTTGTATCCATGCGGGTATTTGATAAGCGGCGGATAATTTACGGATTTTAAGATATTTATATATATTTACAAATATTCATGGATAATATTTTTTTTATAAAAAATATTTTTAATTTCTTTTAAAGGCACAAGCTTATTATCACATAACATTCATACAATTGGTTGTTAATTTTAAAATAAAATTTCATCATTTTAATTTTCTTCTTATTCACCAAAGCATAATTAGATCCAAATATAATATTCATACATTTCATTTTTAACCAAACAAATAAAAGAATTTAAATATGAAATGACTAATAGAATTTGAATGAAATGTGAAAGATTTTCTTTAAAAAAAATTATTAAAAAAAAAAAAGAAACGGATATGGATATCCGCGGACACAGATATCATTAAACATGTATCCATATTCATTAACAAATGGGTATTTAAATATCCAGCTATTTTATCCGTGGATATCCATTAAGCTAGCCTCCTTATATCCGTGATTAATTTTATCCGCGGATACGGATTTTTTTGCCATCTCTATGTAAAAGGTTGTTGTGGTGAAAAGACATCCTTGTAAATTTTAAAATTGCCCTTTCTTAAATTTAGAAGTATACTTTTTTATTTTGATAAAAGAGAAGGTTAAAGCATGAATAAAAAGAAAGAACTACAATAAAAGTAATATAGGGAAGGAAATTTCTTTACACCATCCTCAAATAACCTAAGAGCTAGAACATCATTTATGAAAATATTGCCTACTTTACTAGATATCGTTGTATTAATCAATGCATTTGCACACTTGTTAACTTATCTATATGTGTGTATCACTTTCACTTCGTTGTGGCTCTTGATTAATTGGTGAATTTGTTTAATCAATGTATACCCATCTATATTCATTGAGGTGTCATTATCTAGCATTTTAACTATGACCATTGAATCCACATTCATTTTCACCATTTTTAAACCTAACCTCTTGGTAAGTTTTAAACCTTCAAAAAATTTCTCATAACTCATTCCTAGAAGTACTACATATCCCTAGGAGTTTAGAAAAAAGTTACATTTACAATGTCCTCTATTATTTCTCATAATACCACCACATCCAGCTATTTTATTTAGCTTGCACACCCTATTTGTATTTAATTTAACTTAACTCTCCTGAGGAGGTTTCCAACCTATCATGCAAATTGCTCTATCCTCCCCCTCCAATGACACTCTATTGTTGCAAGTTACATCGTCAAACTCCATTAGCAAAATGTGAACATTAGGGTCTGAATTCTCCAGTTTATGGTAAGACTCGTCGTATTCCTCTTTGTTCCTCCATAACCACAAACTATGACACTCCAACACCCAAAAATTTATCCAATCACAACTCTCCCTCCCCTTCGAATTGATATTCAACCAAATTCAATCCTCAAGCTCAAAGTTAAAGTAATCATTAATTATATTATCAATGACTTTATTTTTCCACAAAATTACATGACTTTTGGATAGTCCTTCATAACGTGCATACTGAACTCACTCACACTACCACAAAGCTTACAACCTGCATCTCTCATTCTTTTCTTTCTTTTTTGACGATTAGTTAACATTTTGTCATACACAAGCAACCACACAAAACATTTAACTTTTTCCTGCACTTTTAGTTTCCAAACTTCCTCTCTATCGTCTTCTTCATTACTAACCAACATCCTATACATGTACCGGACATAATATTCATCATTACTAGTCTCTACCATGATGACCTCATCATTCCCATGCTATGTATTTGGTGGAAGATATGATTTAATTTTCTGGATCACTATGTCTAACATCTAGTTCGTTAGCCTTTGCTAGTTCCAATTATCGCTATGGAAAATAAGGTCACAAAGTTTTGTGTTTGTTAATTCATCAGGAATCTGAGGGTTAAGATCCTTGATATTAACACCTGGTTATATCCAGTAATCATTCCATGCATCAATGTTAGGGTCATCTCTTACACTTCAGCTCCTAGTTGACAAAACATGAGGCATTGCTTTAACAATCTCTTTCCAAAGTTTAGAGTTTAACCTTTGCAGCGAATACTATAACAAACGTGTGCTTTTATACTTGTTTTTATGGGCTTCATACCATAACTCATTAGCTTCCTTATTTAACTCCCACATTAGCTTCATAATGAAGGCTTGGTTCATGATGTCAAGCTTCCGTAAACCAATACCTTCATTCGCTTTATGCTTGGTGATAATTTCCCATTTTATGGCATGATATTTTCTTTTATCATCTGTATCCCCCCGGATGAATTTATGTTGCATGTTGTAGATGTTTTTAATTGACTGCATTTTGTGGTAAAACATTGATGTATGTGTGAATGTCATGACTGATGTTATGACATACATAATGAGTGTGTTGCAGGGTAAGTTTGGATAGCTAAGAGCAAAGTGTGTTGGATGTCATGCTGAATGTTATGACATCAAGCAGCTGACATCAGGGCGCGTGTTTTAGGTTCTGGTATATTGCATGAGGAAGCTCAGGCTATACTTCAGGAAACATTTTAGGAAGCTTGGTTATCTCAGGCGAAATGCCAGGCATGGCTGAGGATAACCTAGGACCAAAATGTTAGTGTGCAGCTTAACGAAAAGAGGTCTTAACTGGGTTTAACCTAATTTCTGCACTAAGGCCCAAGATCTTTATGCTGCTTATAAATAACAAAGTGGCAATCCTAATTGGAGGGGGGTCCTGGACAGAGTTTTTGACAGAGAGTTTACAGAGTGTTTTTGAGTTGTTTTTGAGTGAAGAATTATGTGTTATGCAGTCAGTTCTTCACGTGTGTTTTGTGTATTAGGATTTCTTATGAGCCAAGCAATTATCTGATGTATGATTGCATTGGACTAGTGTGTTTGAGTTGTACTCTGTTTATGTCACTCTAATCTGTTAAGCATGAGTGTCGTGTTTCTTGATCAAAGTTGTGAAGCAGATCAAGGTGTGTTTGAAGTGTGACTTCAATTTTATTTGTAACTAAATTGGTTGATATCACTATTGTGATTGAGGGGGAGTGAGTAGGTACTCA